ATAATAAAACTGGTATAAATTCACTATGCTCTCACATATTAGTGTCACAAATATGCCCACCAAAATAGTATAGTTTACAGGAAATATACAATGTATTTGTTTTTTTTTCAATATAAACACTAAAATTAACTGATATGTACATTTATTTACAAAAGTATTACACATTTAGTAGTCCTGAAGACTGTGATACTGTGTGAAACAGTCGATATGGCACAGAGGGACTGCACACGCTTCACACCATGTCAACACCAATTTACGTTTCTGTGGCCTCATTTTGGGGCTGGAACACACAACGCACCGACGTTGGCCTGCTGCACGCGCTCCAGTTGGTGGTAATTTCTCGATTTGGTGTACCAGAAAGGCCTCTCTGCCTCCCTGTAAACGAGCCTAGGTGCAGGAGCATGGTTCAATATTGGGTCCCAAATGGGTCTTTGTATGCCAGGGGTGTCTTTGCTAAACTAACCTAGTAACTGTTTCACAACTTGAAAACTAAATGAACGGAAATATGGTTTTCTACCTGTTTTCACAAGACACATGTTGTAACTGTTCAGCGTTGTTATGTCAATAAGGTAGAAAATCATTTTCTTTGTCCACTTCACTGTTTTCCGTACACACTCTACAGCACTCACCATCATGTCACATTTATCGAGTAAACGCATGTTGATGTTGTAGTCCATCACACAATCTGGCTTATATATTATTTGCTTTGTTGTTCTGTTCACCTTGCCACTGTCCACCATTGTACCAGGGTGAATGGTGGTCAACATGTTCACTTCACGTTTGTCTTTCCACTGCACTGAAAGTATTGCACCACTTTTTCTTACCTCACAATCACCTACTTGCATAGCAGTGTCAAACACAGGCATTTCCCTTCGTTTTGGCTCTACTGTGCCACACACTCCAGTTTTATTATCAAGCAAGAACCTGGTTAGTATGGGACTGGTATAATAGTTATCTGTGTACAATATGTGGCCCTTGTTCAGATATGGTGCAAGCAGTGCCTTCACCACACTACCTGAGAAGCCATGTTGGTCACTAACAGGAATATCTACATTTGTAGCGGAATACAGTATCATGTGTAACACCATTCTGATTCACAGTCACAAAGCACAAAGAATTTCAATCCAAATCATTGCCATTTAGAGGGAATATACTGTTTGAAGGCAGCATGTCCTTTGGAAAGAACAAGGGATTCATCAATAACCAGTTTCTGAGCTGGTACGTAGTAATCTCGGAACTTTCCAATCAGGTCATTTAGCATGTGCCTCACCCTCCAAAGCCTATCATCCTGTCTTTCGTCTGCATTATTTGCAAAATGAAGGCACTGCAGGATCAACAGAAATCTGTCTCGGGACATATATTTCCCGAACAATGGTGTTGGAACAGCGTTGTCTTTGCTCCAATAATGTGATATTACGTGTTTCACACAATGTTTCATCAACATACAAATTGCGAAAAACACATACAGTTCACCTACAGTCGTTTCTTTCCAACGCTGTAGTCGTGAAAATTTTTATACCTCACCTTCATTGAGATCAGCCGCAAGTCTGTTCGTTTCGTGAACAATATGTTTTATGAGCGGCTCATCGAAATATGCAGTAAAGAAGTCCATTTCATTCATTTCGTCACCTGTATCAGGGAAAAGATCTGTAATTCCCCCATCTCTAATGTCAAAGTCGGGAATTTGTGGAACAAAATCTTCCCCATCACTCCACACAAATAAACCTGCTGTCTTCCGAGAGCCATTAGCTGCACCACGGCGAGGAATCCGGGGACCAGGAGCTGAAGCAGGTCTAGCAACAGTAGGGGCAGGAAGGGTCGATGAGGGAAAAGTATTGGAACATAAGGGGATTTGTTCCTCATTGTCATCATTTTGTTCCATGCAGTGGCGCTTGGCTGGGCGGCGAAACTTGTACTAGCACTAACAGGCGTGGCAAAACTATTCTCAGATTCCACATTACTAAAACCAGAGAATGATTCACCTGTTTCAGACTCGTCGATCATATCATAATCTTGCAATGGAATACTTGCTTGGGCACGAAGTGGTGTTGAGTAGTAGCGAGTGACTCTCGTGGCATCCTCACCCCTTGTGGCACCAACATGCTCACCCTTACTATCAATGGTTTCTATTTCCTCTGGCTGTGTATAGTCCTCATCTATATCCGAGTCGTCAATATCAGGTTCGTCAATGTCTTTGAACAATTCATTGGCTATTTCGTCTTCGGTCAAAGACTGCGCGCCGCCAGCTTGAAACACCCCCATCCTGAGGTAAGAAAGACAGCTCATCACAACTGGCTTACCTGAAGGGTGAAAGTCACCATAAGCGAGAAGACCCCCTAAGGGAGTGAAATCCCGAACACTCGAAGGAAGATAACTCAGACAGAGCAAGGGCAGCACTTAAGAAGTGCATAGGGAAGGTAACCCAGGACACATGCAGCTCAAGTACACTAAACTTCTGGCTCACTCTGCACAACTGTGTATAAGAAAAACCACAAAGGCAAAACTCCATTTAGTCTAAGATAGGAGACCGGACACGCTGAGAGGATGACCAGGCATAATACACATCAAGAACTGGTGGTGTAGTAGCCGGCTGACTCGGTTTGCCTCCCTCCTTTCCCCTAACGAGGGGGTGAAAGAAGGTAGGGTGAACTGGCTCATGTTAGTTTCACAAATAATTTATTGTTTGTTTACATTGTTGTAGAGTTCTTTTGGCTGTTTTGAGGCTGCAATCTCATGTCTAACCAAGCAGTGGTCTGTTTTGCTTCATTGACTCTCTGAATGCCTTTCCTTGGTGGTGGTAGACATGAATAAATTTACATAAAATTTTTCATAAGTGCTGCTGCTCCCTGCACCTCTCTGAGGGAGCAGGTTCTAACTCGTAGTCCCTGATGTGCCAAAGAATAACTCCGCAATTGATGGCACCTTGTAGTCTGGCACTATATCAGACAGAGTAGCTTCAGGGAGCCACTTGGGCTCACCCAAAACGTCCATATTTTGTACTAGTGATTTTGTAGAGCATGCAAGAAAGAATGCCATGCCTAAACCTTTTCTAGGCATAGTATGGTACACATATACAGTAATATACTTTATTGGGCAAAGTATAGTACACACATAATATACTTTATTAGGTCTAAGATTGTGTATACTTGGCCTAGGATTACTTATTTTATCCTAGGACAGGTTAGGCTGTAGTTTTTGTTGTATCCTTTAGTTTACTCTATAAGAGCTCTGCAATCTGAATTCTGATATACCAAATCTTTGGATAATCAAAATGAATTTGTATTGTGTTCCTCATGCACAGGTGAATGGCAGTAAGCAGGTAGATGAAAATGAGAGGGTAAATGGTGGGAGCAACCAGGTAGTGGGTACAACACTCTGCAAATTTTTTAATTTTTGGACGTTACTGGTAAGAAACTTGTCTAGCTACCCTGCTTGTCAAACTCAAATGGTGGTGGGGCCCATATGTTTCTGAACCTGGATTCATAAAGCAGTCACACATATACTTACAAAAGTATACATCTTTTCTCAATCTTTGAGGGCTTTGGTTACATTTATTAAACAGTTTACAAGCATGAAAACTTCCCAATTAACTGTTTCTATTGTTATAAACAGCCTCCTGGTACTTCGGAGTTCATTAACTTTTTAATAATTGTAAACAAAGCCGCCAAAGATTGAGAAAAGATGTACAGGTTCGTAAGTGCTTGGGTAACTGCTTTATGAATCCGGAGTCCAGATTACCAAGTGCAGAGAGTAGTACAAAATATAAACTTTTGTGCAACTGTGCATAATTTGTACATCCTATCAATATTAGCTATAGGTACTATAATTTTTGGGGATGGGTTGAATATAGAGTACAGTATTATATATCTAATGGTTTAAATAGGCCTTATAGTTCTCCCTTGCTCAACAAGTAAACTCAGATTTTATAATATCTCTCTTTCATGTCACTTCACACCTGAGATCCAGAGGATGCATTAATTTTAGAACAGCTTTCTCAAGTACTAAAGTGAATATAAGAATCTCCAGTTTCCATCCTCAAAAACAGCAGATCTTTGTTACATGGAAACATTGAGATTCCTTCAGGTTACAGGATAATGAAGCAGCAGTTTGCACATGACTTAATGGATATTGTATGGTACATCAAGCAGAGACCATTTTTAATCCATTTTCTCTCTTTCCTTAGGAATAACTTATCTACACAAAATCTGTATCACTAATAATACAAATCTGGTACAAGATCAGTAGCAAGGAAGTTATTTTAAAGACATGTAGGTCACTTCTAAAAATGATTCGCCAATCATATTTTCAGTATAGTTGTCTTTGTTAAGCTTGTATTTCTTGCCACTGTTGAAAATATAACATTTTGATATGCTTTTGCATCAAATACATTTTGGTTCAATACTTTCTCTATGCCTACATTAAATATATAAATTCATAACTTAATTTCAGGATTACTGCATATCTTTTTCTATGGAATAATTTGTAAGACATAAAAAGACTGCTATGATACTACAACAAGAATTATCAACATAGTCTGACTAAAATGACAATGAATTTTTTTTAAATAGCCGACATAAATAATAATTTTTTGTTAGAATACTTTTGTATGGTACACACTTTTCAATAATAAACAAAGTAAAACAGGCATTAGAAAACCAATGAAAAATTTATACAATCCTTGTAAATGATTCGGTAAAACTTTGGATAACCACAGAAAAAAAATTATGTTGTTAACAAGCTAAAGTAAGCCATCTAAAATGAGGATGACATCTGCTGAAAGAGAATGATGTAACCCATGCCTTGAATGATGATGGACCAGTCAGTGACAAGTTACCAACTGCCAACTTCCTCAGTTTTATTCTAGTCCCCTGAGTAAAGAATGCAAAATCTCTTAAAAATGCTGCTATGATACTTTATAAATGAACTTAGAAACTGAGCATAAAGCTATCCTATTCACTGCTTTGTATAGGTAATATAAACTGGAAGAAACACCATATTACCTGCTACTGTATTAACTTGGAAATGACCCATAGCGTAATCTTAACACAGCATCTGCATCACATATGTATTTGCCTGTGGAGAAGAACATGTTATAATATAATCAATGTTTAAACATTTTTGAAAATATATATAGCAAAGCTGAAATATGTAGAGAACACTACTAAACTAAGTGAAAGAGGTCCATAAAAAATTATTATGATAGCCCTATATGATGAATAATAAAGAGACTGGTTAAAGTTAGAGATAAGTCCAAGCAGAAGAGGCTATATTACACATAGATCTTTAATATATTCCTTGACATCTGATTTCCAGTGGGAACTTCTCAAAGTGGAGAAGCACTCATGCAGGATTTTCCCAAAGTATTTCAATCACCTTCAAGTATTGAAGATTCTAAAGTAATCAAAACATATATTGAATAATTAAAAAAAAAATCTGCCACTTTCACTTACGTGATGCTACCACCACTTGCTTTCACTGAAAAACAATGTATGGAAAAGCTGAGGATAGCCACATGAGTCATGCGAATGGGAAAGTAAGAAATTTAGAAAAAACCAGCGTTGAATGTAATGAAACGCCATTTTCTGGGTGAGACCCGGAGGCTCCCCGGAGCTTTACCAGGCTGATATGCTAATGTCAGACTTTGGCATCAGTCATGTGTATGGAGTTCTAGGGCCTACCGGGGACCACGGCCAGAATGCACTTCTCAGCCTACTATGCAAGGCCCGATTTGCCTAATAAGCCAAGTTTTCATGAATTAATGTTTTTTCGACTATCTAATCTACCTAACCTAACCTAACTTTTTCGGCTACGTAAGCTAACCTAACCTATAAAGATAGGTTAGGTTAGGTTAGGTAGGGTTGGTTAGGTTCGGTCATATATCTACGTTAATTTTAACTCCAATAAAAAAAATTGACCTTATACATAATGAAATGGATTGCTTTATCATTTCATAAGAAAAAAATTAGAGAAAATATATTAATTCAGAAAAACTAAATATATATATATATATATATATATATATATATATATATATATATATATATATATATATATATATATATATATATATATATATATATATATATATATATATATATATATATATATATATATATATATATATATATATATATATATATATATATATATATATATATATATATATATATATATATATATATATATATATATATATATATATATATATATATATATATATATATATATATATATATATATATATATATATATATATATATATATATATATATATATATATACAGAGCACCACTTGGTTTCCGAACCCCTTGGGGACGAGACCCGTCGGTTAACATGTAAGTTCGTATACGAGAAATAGAGGGGAAAAAATAAACTAGAAATGTAAAAAGAAATTTTTCCAAAAAATTTATGAAAAAAACTCTAGGGGAAAAAATCGTCAGGTTCATGGCGTAAATGCGACCGTGTTTTGTTTGTACTCATCAATAAGTGAAGTCCTGATCCGCTTTATAAAAGTCCTTAATTGTTCCTAACTGATTATTAAGACGTCTGGCAAACATCCTCTGGATGTTTCCTGCCAGCCTGCAGGCACATCCTGCCTAAAATATACGATGATGTACTGTACATTTAAGAAACAAATCTGGGTCACAGGTCTGTGGAGTGTGGCTAGGCTTACGGAGTCAGCCGGTCCCTCCCCCACCACCAACACACCTCCCCCTCTCCCCCCACCACCGACACACCTCCCCCTCTCCCCCCACCACCGACACACCTCCCCCTCTCCCCCCACCACCGACACACCTCCCCCTCTCCCCCCACCACCGACACACCTCCCCCTCTCCCCCCACCACCGACACACCTCCCCCTCTCCCCCCACCACCGACACACCACCCCCACCCCCCACCCCAAACCCATACACACACACACACACACACTCTCAAAGGTCACGTGGTTCACAGTTCACTTCAACACCCATATATCGCTTCCTGCCTGCCTGCCTCCTTCCCAGCCTGCCAGCCTGCCTCCTTCCCAGCCTGCCTCCTTCCCAGCCTGCCTCCTTCCCAGCCTGCCTCCTTCCCAGCCTGCCTCCTTCCCAGCCTGCCTCCTTCCCAGCCTGCCAGCCTGCCTCCTTCCCAGCCTGCCTCCTTCCCAGCCTGCCAGCCTGCTTCCTTCCCAGCCTGCCTCCTTCCCAGCCTGCCTGTCTGCCTCCTTCCCAGCCTGCCAGCCTGCCTCCTTCCCAGCCTGCCTCCTTCCCAGCCTGCCAGCCTGCTTCCTTCCCAGCCTGCCTCCTTCCCAGCCTGCCTCCTTCCCAGCCTGCCTCCTTCCCAGCCTGCCAGCCTGCTTCCTTCCCAGCCTGCCTCCTTCCCAGCCTGCCTCCTTCCCAGCCTGCCTCCTTCCCAGCCTGCCTCCTTCCCAGCCTGCCTCCTTCCCACCTTGGAGAGAATGCAGGCCTGCCTCCTTCCCAGCCTGCCAGCCTGCCTCCCTCCCAGCCTGCCTCCTTCCCAGCCTGCCAGCCTGCCTCCTTCCCAGCCTGCCAGCCTGCCTCCTTCCCAGCCTGCCAGCCTGCCTCCTTCCCAGCCTGCCAGCCTGCCTCCTTCCCAGCCTGCCAGCCTGCCTCCTTCCCAGCCTGCCAGCCTGCCTCCTTCCCAGCCTGCCAGCCTGCTTCCTTCCCAGCCTGCCTGCCTGCCTCCTTCCCAGCCTGCCAGCCTGCTTCCTTCCCAGCCTGCCTCCTTCCCAGCCTGCCTCCTTCCCAGCCTGCCAGCCTGCCTCCTTCCCAGCCTGCCAGCCAGCCTGCCTGCCAGCCTGCTTCCTTTCCAGCCAGCCTGCCTCCCCCCCTGCCATCATGCTAACGGGTAGTGTGTGTTAGGCTTATCTTCGGGAATGAGCCGGTCTCACCCCCACCACCAACAAACCACCCGCCCCCCCTACATCCCATCTCTCAAGGTCACGCGGTTCAACCGCGTGACTACCACTCACTCCCTGCCTGCAAGCTAGCCTGCCTGCCTTCCTGCCTGTCTGCCTGCCTGTGCCTGCCTGCCTGCCTGTGCCTGCCAGCCTGCCTTTCCCTCCCTAATTCTCACTACTTCCATCCCTTCCTGCCTACCTCCTAGCATCTCTCCCTACCTCCCCCTCCCTCTTAGCATCTCTCCCTACCTCCTAACATCTCTCCATACCTCCCCCTCCCTCCTAGCATCTCTCTCCCCCCCTCTCACTGATTCTCCCCCCCCCCCCTCATTCATACTGCCTCCCACCTCAGCTCCATCGTCCATCCACCCACCAGTCAGCCATCACTGACGCAATGCGTGCATTTGGAGCCAACATGGTGCACAGATGTTTCTTGATTGTGCAGATATGTAAAACAAAAGCACAGAATGAACATTCCAGCCTTATGGCAATTCAAAATAATAGGAATAATAGGCCGTGAATCTGTGAAGTCACAGTGGGCAAACTGGACCATCGCCCACCCACCACCACAAGCCGGCGTGACGCTTGGTGGACCCCTTCCTACCCGAACTTTGTTCGGGTAGCATGACTCCCCAACCCCAATCGGGAAACTGGAAGTTTCGGATAACTAAAGTTCGGAAACCAAGTGGTGCTCTGTATATATATTATATATATATATATATATATATATATATATATATATATATATATATATATATATATATATATATATATATATATATATATATATATATATATATATATATATATATATATATATATATATATATATATATATATATATATATATATATATATATATATATATATATATATATATATATATATATATATATATATATATATATATATATATATATATATATATATATATATATTTCATTGAATATGACCGCATATTCTGTATTTATTATTTTCTGGTTTAGGGCTTCTATCCCTCTAACTATTTTCTTAGCATCAGGGCTTAATTGAAATAGGAGTTCTCCAAAACTCATTTTCGTACTTTTAAGGTGAAGAAAAGAAGTGATTTACTATAGAGTGTATTACACTTATTTGTATAATTTGCACGACGTTTCGAACCTCCATGGTTCATTCTCAAGTGAACAGATCTTACAATACTAGTTGATTTTATACCCGCATTAGGTCAGGTGATAATACAATGAAGGTGAAAACATGGGGGGATACATAAGGGATAAACATAGGGGCTGCAGAAGGCTTATTGGCCCATACGAGGCATCTCCTATCTAAACACAAAGATTAATCCAGTGTAATTGGCCTGTTATGTTGGACATTGTCTTCTGTGTTGGCATCGATATGTTCTTGTCTTGTCCTTACTCTCATGGTGGGTAGAGTAAATAGTTCCGTGATTTGGGTGTTCATGGTAGGTCGCTCTATTCTTATGTGAATTGCCTCAAGAATTTGTAATCTTCTTGAATCTTGGGTTTTGTCTATTATCTATCTATCTTTATAGATAGATAATAGATCTATCTTTATAGGTTAGGTTAGGTTAGGTAGCCGAAAAAGTTAGGTTAGGTTAGGTTAGGTAGGTTAGGTCGTCGAAAAACAATTAATTCATGAAAACTTGGCTTATTAGGCAAATTTGGCCTTGCATAGTAGGCTGAAAAGTGAGTTCTGGCTACTAGGTACGACATATATATATATATATATATATATGTGTATATCACGAAAATAAACACGTGATTAAGAATGTGACAATGTCAGACCACGGAGGAAAATTGAAACAGGAAATTTCCTTAAGTACTTTCGTATATTAAATACATCTTCAGAAGGTCTACCTTCTGAAGATGTATTTAATATACGAAAGTACTTAAGGAAATTTCCTGTTTCAATTTTCCTCCGTGGTCTGACATTGTCATATATATATATATATATATATATATATATATATATATATAATGCAAGGCCCGATTTGCCTAATAAGCCATGTTTTCATGAATTAATATATTTTCTCAAATTTTTTCTTATGAAATGATAAAGCAACCCATTTCATTATGTAAGAGGTCAATTTTTTTTTATTGGAGTTAAAATTAACGTAGATATATGACCGAACCTAACCAACCCTACCTAACCTAACCTAACCTATCTTTATAAGT